AGGGTTTAGGGTTTGGGGTTTAATAGCTATAATAAAGTACCCTGAATAGTGGGATCCTGATTGTAAGGACCCCAAAATCAGGTACCTCTTGTTTTCGGAAACTCGCAGATCAAGAAGTCTGAAAGACGAAGGGCTTCCAAAGCAAAGTTTCGACATCTTGGTGAGCAAGCTTCGCTGTGCCTCTACATATTTATTTAGTATATGGACCGCACTCTCATTTACAGAGAGACACATGCATAGAGGCATCTCTCTCTCGCTCTGACTCTTGTTTTGTCTGTTCTTCTTCTTCCTCTACTCTCTCTCCCTCTCCCTCTCTCTTTCTCTCTCTCCCTCTCCCTCCTCCTGTTGCCTCTGTGCATGTACATGTATTTAATCTTACAGAGATAGAGAGAGAGAGAGAGAGAGCGCGAGAGAGAGAGAGAGAGACAGAGCCCGTGCTTACAGAAGCGGCGTTGTTGAAGAAGCGGCGTTATTACAGCAGATGATTTCCCAACCAACCACACCCTCCAAGCCCGCAATTAAAATGCCTGAAGCCCCAGACCCTCCAATTAGTTTCCTGAGCCCAAACAGGCCCTCCAAGCCCCAAGAACCCTAAAGCACCAAAAGGCCTTCAAAGCACCAAACCAAAAGCCCCACAAAGCCCCAAATCCCTGAAGGTCGTGTACCGTGCCCTCGCTGCTCTCGCTGCCGTCGCCGCCATCGCAGCGGCCTGCGGGCCCAAGGGTTTGAAGTAGGTTAAATTGAATTTCGGTAGGTCGGTAGGCTAATAGAAATAAAGCATCATGAAGGCCGTAAAAGGTTATAAGCTATAATGGGTTTGAGAAGGCGTTCATCCGTCTTGGCACGGGCTTCTGAATGGTGCTCTTCTAAGGGCCCTAGACGGTGTCTCTATTGGGTTTAGGGAGCGGGGGGAGCGGGTGCAGAGACGTAATCCAGAGGCTGCTTTCAAAGGCCCTTCAAGTTGCAACAGGTTCCGAAAGTAGGGCCCTGCTTCCCCAGCAGAAAAAGGAGGAGATCCTGGAAAGCTCATGTTTCCTGGGCCGCTTGAAGGAAGGATGCAAGTTTGTAGTCAGCAGCAGCTGGTTACTTCAGGGGACCCGAAACTCCAAAGCCGAAAATCCTCCAACTTCATAAGCCCTAAACCCTACACCTTAGAAACCCTAAACCCTAAACCCTAAACCCTAAACCTGATAAACCCTAAACCCTAAACCTTATAAACCCTGAACCCCAAACCTTGTAAATCCTAAACCCTACACCTTATGAACCCTAAACCCTAAACCCTAAAGCCCTTTTACCCTAAACCTTATAAACCCTAAACCGTATAAATGTATAAACCCTAAACCCTAAGCCTTATAAACCCTAAGCCCTATAAGCCCTAAAACCCTTTTAACCTAAACCTTATAAATCCTAAACCCTTTAAACCCTAAACCCTAAAGAGGGGCGGTTGGCGGCGGCTCCAAGCTTGGTCTCTCGGCTTCGCTGAGGTCTTCCAGCTGGGCAGTGGCCTGGGCAGCGCCCTCCGTGGCACGGAGACGAAGATGCATTCCCCGAGCCTCGGTTCAAAAGACAAGTTTGGGGGGTTTTGGGGTTTTGGGTTTAGGGTTTAGGGTTTATGGGGGCTTGCAGGGCTTTAGGCTTCTGGGATTTAAGAGGGCTTAGCTTCGTCTTTTCGGGGGCTGCTGGACTTCTAGGGTTGCGGGCTTCGAGATGTTCTCATGCGTGGCCGCATTAGCCGATCCTGTCCCCCAGTGCTTGAGAGAATTCGCTTCTGTTCTTGTTCGCACCTGAGCCCACCTGGGCGTGTGCTTCTCTGGATGGCAAGAAGTGAATGTGTTCCTTACCAGAAAAGCCTGAAGAACCGTTGTACGGTTGGGGATGGGGGAACTGTAGCAGTCAACGGGGCCATAGATACTGGTAGGCCCTAGAAAAAGTTAGTTGCACAGGTCATAGCCGCACTAAAAAGAGTGTCTTGGCCCGGGTGAATTCAATTCCGTCGAGCCACCGCAAGCTGCAAGGATCCAGCTTGAGGAAAGTTGCGGACGCTCCGCGGACAAAGTGAAGCTTCAGGACCCGACGCAAAAGAGCATATTCGGAGCCACGAAGCTAGTCAGGCAGGAAGCTCGACATAGCACAATGCTTATTGTTTTGGTTATGACTGGTTGCTATGAGGGCTGCGGCGGTTTGGGCATGACCGGTGGGCAATGCGATTCAAGACCCGAACGGGGGCACCTCCAAGCTGCACCTTCATCATGCACACACACAAACACACGAAAGGCCGCAGGGTCAAACTATATAGCACGTCTCTATCTTGTACCTTAGCCTACAACAGTTTTTTAAAACCCTAATTGGACCCCCAAATCCCCAAACCACAGGCAGACCCTGAGCCCTAGAGCCTGCAGGACGTGATTGAGGAAAAGGGCTTCCCCTTGTGCGTCTCCGTGAACGATGTGCCTGGGATGCTGAAAAGTTCAAGCCCAGGTGTAGGCATCTATTATTTTTTGAAGGGGGGCTTACAGTTTGGGATACTGTAACAGGTCAAGTATACTTGAGGATATAATCTAAGGGCTTGGTGCGGGGTTGAGGGCAACTCACTGTCGTAGCTGTTGCTGTTGTCGCGTCGTCACCTGGTACTGACCCTGCTGGCGGTCATGGGTGGTACGCTACATTTTTTGTGAGTTGCTTTGCACCATCGTTGTCAGCGTTGCTAGTTGAGGTCAGCCAGCCCGGAGCCCCCGCCCCCAGTCTAATCCCTTCAACTGCGAACCCCAGGCACTCCAAATCAAGTCCCTAAACCCTAAGCCCTAAACCCTCAATCCTAAACCATAAACCCTAAACCGCAAGGCAAAGATGGACGGTGAGTCTCTCAACATCTTGAAGCATGGCTGGGGCTACACCTGCCCGGTGTCCACGGTCGGCATCTTCAACAAGTGCTACGAAGCGACTCGGTTGAAGCGCTCCTTTTTCTTGGCCCTGCAGGTTGGTTCGCAGAGAGGGTAAACAACTGCATACCATACTATACCTGGCACGGATATGCAACTGAAAGTGTATAATGCACATATACATGTATTGACATGTATGTGTCCATGTCTATAGACTTCTGCCTTAGGCTTTTTCTTCGTAGAACAAGTTGTATAGTATTCTTACGCATATACACACTGCCACACGCACATACGTCTTTAAGACACTTGGAGACAGCTTCCTTCAACGGGACAGCGGAATCGTTCTTTTTGACAGGATGGCCGCAGGATGGGCAGCCGAAGTGTGTGGAGCAGTAGGTTTTGGTTCAGGTCTTTTTTGGGCGGGTGCTGGTTAGAGGAATTGTTGCTAGCATCTACCGTGCAGTTCTTCCTTGTGTTGCAAGGAGTGATGACTAAAGCTTATTTGGAGTATGGGGCCGCTTGCAAGACAGGTGAAGTGCGAGAAGAAGTCTGCGAAGGAAATGGGCCAGCATGTGATGGATGGACTCTCCCACCATGCGGGCAACCTCATGGGAGCCCTCTCCGGCGCTTTGACGGGCGACGACCAGAAGGATAAGAAGACGTTCAAGGAGGCAGCTCCGGCAGGGCAGTAGAAGACGAAGCACCAATTCCCTGTAACGCTCAGGATTTAGAGTCTAGGGACGTTCGGGGAGGGTTGTCCATCTATGCAGGGTGTCGGGTGCAGTGAATTTGGCCATAATTGCTTACAAAATTACACTGCGCCCTTACCCCTTATGGTGGACTTTTAAGACTTGCTTTGTCAAAATCACCGACTAGGAGATCCCAACAGAGACCCTCGAAACTTGGGATCCTCGAAGCTACGACGCATCCCCGGTTTCCACACACCCCCAATTCATCCAATAGAGGTCGCGGCGTTCGGGGTTTGTTGGACTTGAGGTATTCAGCTATGGGGTTACTGTAGGGTTACTATACGGGTCATGATAGGGTTATTTGAGGGGCTTTCGATTCCGAAGTCGTGGCCTTTTTTTCAAAAACGTGCAGGATGCAGGATCCGAAAGCATTAACCTTGGAGAACATCATAAACCCGGAACCCAAACCTGGAGCCCCAAAAATCACAGCAGAAACCTGATCTCCTCTGAAATTCAAACCTTGACATGTTGTTCAGAGCTGGCCCTGCAGTGTTCACTTTTCCAGATTGGATGAAATCCCCGATGTGTTGGAGCCATGAGCAAGAATGTCGAAGGGCTTACGCAGTTGTCTTCGCGGCAGAAGTCCTTATCCGAGTGTCAGAAACTGCAAGCCCCAAACGTCCACTAAACCAAACCCAGAACGAGGGGCCTAGACGCCCGCAAGAAATCCAGACAAGCTTTTAGGAGAGGACAGCGTCTTGAAATGAGCGTTGGCAAATATATGAACTCCAGACCCTGAACCCCTCGAAAGGCAGGTTCATGTAGCCCTAGGAGGGAACAAAAGGATAGGAGGACATGCTTTGGAGAACACCCCAAGGAAGAAATCCTAAAGCGCCAAAGGCCCCACGGCCCCAAGCCCTGAACTCAGAGGCCCTAAGCCCTGAACCCTAAACCCTAAACTCAGAGGAGGACAAGCCCGACATGGACCTGGGCGCCACAGCAAAGAGTGCCTGGGCCTCGATGCTCAGCGACGACAAGGCCTCTTGTCGGCGATCAAGGAAGAGTAATATAGGGGCCTTAATAATGATATACCTATACTATTCTGGGGTTCCTTATTATGATTATAGTATAATATACCCCAAAACCCTATTCTAAATATCAAGGCCCCTACACTAGGGCCTTAGGGTCTAAGGGCTTTAGAATTCAGGGGAGACATCGGTGTTTTCGAGCTGTCTGAGGGTCATGTAAAGGTTGTGTGGGGTGTTTAGCAGGAGCTATAGGGTTTTATGTGGGTCTCAGTAGCGCGAAATGGAGTTTATTGAGCCCTATGAGATTCTATGATAGCAGTCCATCATAGTCCATCACTACAGCAATCTCAATGTTAATCTCAATGTTACTGGCCAAGTCTCTGCCAGGCCAGAACCTCTCTTGGAAGCGGGTGGCAGTGGTAGTCTTCGAAAGCCAAAGTCCCCTAGGAACCCTCTCGGCCCTCGCACCGCCAAGGAAAAGGATGTTTGCGTTGGCGGCCGCAAGGTGCATGTGTGGAAGGTCACCGAATGAGTTCTCAGTTTCAAGAAGAACTTTGCTCATCCCAATAAGCAACAGGCACGAAGCGGCCACGGAGTGTCTATTCGGGAACAGAATTCTTGAGTGTAAATGTTTCTGTGTCGTCTTGGGCTTGTGATGCTCCGGCTTCTTCGCGCAGCTTCCCGTGCATAAAAAGGCGCAGGGAGCGTAATTAAGATGTTGGGCATGGGCCGCCGCATGGCACACTGGTCGACGCATCCGCGAGTCTTCAGCCCGTTGATAGCTCAGAGCCCTAGAGTTTTGCACGTCCCTGCACCGGAAAAAGCGCTAGAACCACTTGGTGAGCCCAAAAGTTAATGGTTCAGGGTCGCTTTGAAGTGCCATGCTGGCAGCTAGACCTCTGTTTAGTCAGAGGCAGCGCTGAGCAGGCACGGGTTCCTTGGTATCTCCACAGTGCACACACCGCTGCAGGGGGTGCCAGGGAGCTCGGTCGCCGGTTGCCAGACTTGTTTCAGATCTTTCGCGCGTCTGATGGAGAAATGTGGATCCATTGTGAGCCATCCCCAGAGATTTCCTCTGCAAGGCACTCCGAACCGTACTTGACGTCGTAGTGACACACGGCCAGAAGAAGAAGCCGGGAATGTTTGGCAGCGAATTCCAGTTTTTCAGAGGGTTTACAGAGGTGTCTCCAGGATCTTCTGTCGGCCTTGAAACCCCGTGCACCTACCTGACCCGGCCCCACGACTGGGCCTTGCGAGACAGCTTCGAAACCCCAATGCCTTCGAACCCCAAGCCTAAGCTCATTGCACACGACATGAGCGCAACCGCCCCCCCCCCTCCCCCACCAGACTCATGAGACTCGCTTTGCTCCAGAAGCACTGCTACTATCACTACGAGTGGTTCGTGCGATGATGCATATCACAAGTGTTATTGCTCTTACTACGAGCGTTCTTGTTATGTCTAGAGTCTAGGGAGAGGGCAGGGCCAAGGTGGCCAAGGGGATGAACAAAGGCATGAATCGGCATGTTCTTTCCAAGTAGGACCTGGAGTCCCAAAAGACGTCCCCTCCAGAAATCTGCTCCCTACGCCCTTAAACCGGACACACAAAACCGAAGAGTCTTCCGACAGTGTCATGAACATCTTCATGAGGTTCACGGCTCGCGGCAGCTCTCCTCACGTCATCCCTCCCTCAGCCACGAGAAAGCAGGGTTGTTGTTACTAGAATTGTAAGTTTCATTGATCACATGTGTATTCGCTGTTTGCATGATTGCCGAGTGCTGCTATTATCACTATCATCATTATAAGTTATTGCCATTAAACTTACCACTACCCTTGTCATCCTTGCTGCTGGAGGGGCCGAGGCCCGCCTATGGAACCCGGCATGGGGAGGCCTGTGAAGACGTCGGGGCACCCCGTTGAGGGGCTAAAACGTCTTGGAACTTGCCTGAGTGTTTACGAACCTACTTGGGTAGTTGTCAAAATTATGGTCCCTTTTTGGGTCCCCAATATAATACGGCACCTAATATTTAATGTACCCCAAAAAAGGGACCCTAATTTTGACAACAACCCACTTGGGTCAGGCGACGTGTCGAGCTAGGGGTTCTTTGGTGAGGAAGAGAGCGTTTTGCTGGGGTGGTCAGGCACCACATGCAGATTCTGTGAGAGCATGCCTCCATGCGCAGAATCAGCCCAGCCCCCAGCTCTATCTCCCAAGTCCTGAGCTCGGGCTGCAGCTTGAAGCATCTTTTTCTTTGTTTATCGCGAAGCCGACACCCCACCAGACGTCATGGCAGGCTCTTTGCACCCTCGGTGTGGCCGGGAGTTGCCGGCAGAAAAAGGGGGTGCGAAGTTCAGGGTAGTCAAGCATCCTTTTTTGCCATTCAAACGTAGCAGTGTCCGCCGAAACGACTATAGATGAGGTGATTCAGAAGCACATTAATTACAGACATTACGTGTTGCGAACTGCACTTCATTTTGGGAACTGAAGGTAAACAGATGCCGGATGCCAGCTTGGTGGCCGAGGGAACGCAGTGTTGACACATCAAGCACATGTCCAGAGAGCCTCGAAGTATGGTTCACGCGCAGGACGGGCTACCGCGTTCAAGCTCGAAAAGTTGCTTCAGATTCGAAGGTTAGGTGTTGCAGGTTGTGATGAAACCGCATGTTGGCAAAACGGCGCTTCGCATGTGTCGGCATGGTTGCATGCACATACGAGCACAGGACGGCACGCACGCATATGCGCACACACACACACGTACTGACAGACACTCTCGCCCTCACTCTCAATCACACAGCAGACGCTGGCCCAAACACTTGGGCAGCCGCCCGTGGAGCTTACCCGCCAGATGACCTGCGGCGATGCGCAGGAGTCGTGCGCAAGGCCGTACAGTGATCCTGCTTTTGGTCTTCCAGCTGGTGCCAGATCCGCAGTACCTCAGGTGGCCCTGTGAGTTTATTGATTTGCAGCATGATCATTTCGGATTTCGACGGCATCCACGGCCAAGAGTGGTCAACAACATCGGGTTAGGAGTGGCATTCCATGAAGACTTCCTTGGTCGCACTAGAGAGAAAAACCAGCTTAAGAAGGACATCAGTGACACGCAGGTTTCTGGAGTGTGCATTCTGGGGAAGCGTGGCATTGGCAAGACCCGACTTGCAGTCGAAGCTGTGCAGGAAGCCACAGCCGATGTGAAGTGGCTCATTACCGCTGACTCGCGCATGGCCGTGAAGCAAGGGCTGATAAATTTCGCGGCGGAAATGGAGCTGTCAGATCCTTTGATACATGACGGAGACAAGCTGGCCTTGGAGTGGTTGGCGAACGCAAAGGTCTGGATTCTCGTCTTGGACAATGTCCAGTCCTTCGCCGACTTCACCGACCTCCTGCCAAGCAGCCATCGGGGGACCATCGTTGCCACGGCTGTCCAGCGATGCGGGGCTCCTGCGGTCAAGAGCATGTCTCTAGGGCCTTTGGAGAAGCGAGACGCATCAGAGCTGTTACAGAAGCTCGCCCACCGGGAAGACGACTCTGGAGCACGTCAGCTGGCCTCAGCCCTGGCTGGATTACCAGTGGCCCTGGTGCAGGCAGCAAGTATTGTATCTGCAAGCAACGTCGGTTTCGAGTCTTTCGCGCAACAGTTTCCAAGGCTCCAGATCAGTACGGTGGCAAGAGCTCCCTTCATGATGGAGCTCAGGTATCGCATCATTGGGAAGGTGCTTTGGCAGACGCAGAGAGAATTTCTCGAGAATGAAGGTCATGCTGCCTCGATCAGCTTAGTGCAGTTCATGTCGACACTGAGCCCGAACGGCGTGTCCAAGCGGCTCCTTGCAGACCTAACAGGGTTTGAGAACGGCAAGTACCAGGAAGCCGTAACTCCACTGAACTCACTCTCTATAGTGCGCATGGACTCAAGGGGATCTTCCTGCCGCCTTCACTGGCTATCTCAGCATGGCATTCGGGCAGAGTTGGTGAAAAGCGGCAATGCCAGCATGCTGCAAACAGTTTTAGAGGGGCTCATGCAGCCAGTTGGAAAGGAATGGTGGTACCCGGCATCATTTTATCGAGTTTCGAAGGTGGTGTTCGAGCATGCCAAATTCCTGCTGAACAGCTGGCACTTGGAGCGCTTGACTGCGAAAGCAGGACATTCGGATAAGCTGGCCAACCTAACCTGCCAAGCAAGGGTGGCAGTTGGTGGATATGCTTACTACAATCTAGCTGATGCAAGGTTGGGACGGCGGTGGATGCAGAACGAGATTGAGCGATGGCCAAGAGATAGCTTGCAGTACGGGGTGTGCTCCGCTTTGTTAGCTTTGGTGACATCTGACTCTGACAGGAAAGCCAGCCGAAGGTTTGACGAGTTGGCAGTCGGTACCATAACGCGCATCAGAGATGATTCGGTGCATGATGACACCCTGGCTGTTTACGTGTATGTTTTAGCGAATAGCTTGAGATTGGCTGCTGGAGACCATGTGGATGAATCGCGACAGCAGCGACTGGTGGACGAACTGGAAGACCACATCGGTCAGCTAGAGCCTGAGCCACGAGCACATGTGCACTGCTCCTTGGGAAGATGGTATCAGTACCGAGAAGAGCTGGATTTGGCGCGGGACCATACGCGTGCATGTCGCAGGATCCTTCGTGCACATCATCTGGCGAAGGTGGTAGATAGCTCCATGGAGCTCAGCATCGCCTACACATCAGAGAGGCTGGCAGCCCTGTTTTTGGCTCTTGGTCAGTTCCATGAGGCAAAGCGCAGTGCACACGAGGCCTCACTCTTATTCGAGCATGTTTTTGGCCCAAACCACCGCCGAAGAGCACGCTCGCTTGTCAGTTTGGGGCTTGCGGCCGCGGAAGTACATGGCCCAGACAAGGGCTTGCCACACTGCCAGCGAGCATTGAAAATTCTGCGGGATGTAGCGGATGACACAACCGCTACAGCGAAAGCCCTGTTGTGCACGGGAAAGTTCTCCCGCCACCCTGACGCATTGGCAGCGGATCCCTGCGGAGATCTAGGCATTGCCCAAAAGCTTTTTGAGCAAATAAACGGAGCAGAGCATCTCGACACGGTGCAGTGCCGTATCGAGCGTGCAAGGTGTATGTTGGACCGAATTGACCAAACCAAGCATAAACAAGTGGAGCAGCTCTTACAGAAGGACTTCGAGCGATTGGAACATCGCAACGAAACCTTGCCAAAATTCTTGAAAAGACAGCTGCTCGATTTGCATGCTGACATCTTCGTGCACAGAGCCAACCAGGCCATGTCCAGGGCCAAGCAGTACAGGCAGAGGGCTGATGCACTTCGTCACAGCACAAAGTTTAGGTCCATCTTGGGCATCATTAATTAGCACTGTCACTTCGGCACTCGCTTGTGCAGCATGCCTGCCAACTGCAGCATTCCGCGTCAAGCGAAGGAGTGCGAAGCCACCGGCTCTGGTTGTGACAAACTCGCACTATGTCGGCTGTCATGAGCTACCAGCTGCATGCAACGATGGGGAAGCGGTGCGTGCCCTTCTCGCAGATGCTGGGTATATGAGAAATGCAACCCTGAATGACATGAACTCTCTTCTCAAGCAACTGTTACAGCATCTGTCGGAGAAGGAACATGCCCTGGTTCCTATCTACCTGTCCGGTCATGGGATTGAGCACCACGGCCTGTCGTACTTTGCACCTGTCGATGCCGAGAAGGCGAGGCTGTCGTCCCACCTTCTGCTCAACAGCCTACAGCTCTCGCACTTGCCCAAGGTTGCACAGCAGCACAGCGCGGAGCCAACAAAGTCAGTGCTGTTCTTCTTCTTCCTTGACATCTGTCGCACGGATGTCCAGCTGGACGCCGCCAGCATTGAAGAACCTAAGCAATCCCTGCTTCGTCCCAGCAAGGCTCCGGGCGTGGTCTACTTCAAGGCCTGTGGTCGCGGCAAGCGAGCTTTCGACGAAGGCAAAGCACAAGGGAAAGGACAGGGGGCAGATGATGGAAATGGAACCGTGCATGGGCGCTTCACTCGCGCCCGCCTGCACTTCGGCCAGGATTCCCGCTTGACCTTGGGTGCGCTTTCAGAGCGCGTGGGCTTGGATGTACAGACGAAGAGCAGGGGGTGGCAGGTGCCCGAAGTTGATGGACCTCAGGATCGGATGGGGGAGTTTCTCCATACCCATGTTGCCCGCTACGAGCGCGGCCGAGCTTCGTGCACGCTCTTCTGAAGAAAAAGCTGTCAAACGTAGACAGAAGCTGCTCGATTGTAGATTGCAGAGCTGAAGAGACTGGTGTGCGGCTTTGCCCACTTAAATCCTTAGCCATGCTTCTAAGCTTTTGGCTTCGAGCTTGTGTGGCATCGCACCTTTGTACCCTCCCTGCAGCCATGGAGATCCAGCCGGAAACTTGGCAGAGAGCATGCCATGTGCCAGGTGCCCCCATTGACTTCTCCGCACAAAAAAGGGTTCAGGGCCGTGAGCCGAAGACATGGCTGGAGCAGTCTGTATGATGCCACCCGTCAGACATCGGAAGCAAAAATAGAGCGCTCAGTTTCCTGGAGACCGAGGCTCCCAACCGCCCAAAGCCTCGAAGCGCGTCTCAGCCGTCCCCTTGGAAGAGGAACTCTGGGGGGGGTCTTCCGATACGCACGGTGCTTCTCCGAGTGGCAATGCCGGCCACCGTAGTCAGGTGCTCTCCAGCCACTGCTCGTGTTTTGTTGGGTAAGCTGCAACACCACCGATGCTAGCATCTCCCTCATGCTTATCTTGAGGTAGGCCTTGCCGTGTGACCTGTTCACCTACCCATCTAACTCGGACCCTGCTTGGTTTTCTGAGCATGTCTGCAGGACCCGGGCAGACGACGCCGCCGGCCGCCGTCAGGGGTCAGGCACGCAAACCTAGAGGGTCCCAATATGGGACTGACTCAGATCTGGATGTCCGCTTCGGAACTTTTTGATACTTGGGATTTGGGGCTCTTGCTTTCGGCACTGACCACGTAGCGGAAGCTAGCAATTGGCTGCGACGCGGAGCAACGACATGACATCTGCAGTGGATATAGTCATCACCTCCACACGCAGTGACTCCAGCTTTTTGTTGGATTCAAGAGAATGTAGGACTACCTTAAGAGCCCAAAACCCACTTTTTTGTAGGTTCTTATTATAAGCCCTAATATGGATTTATAGGTACAAAAAAGGTAGGTTTTGGGTTCTTAAGGTACTGTTGGAACCAGACATGGTCGAAAAGAAGCCTTCCAGGCATCTGTCGAAGCCTTCCTGCCCAGGACGGCGCTGCCGCTCCTCTAGCTGCTCCCGAGGACCGAAGCCAGAATCACGAGTTGTTGCTCCTACATAAATATCTATATGTATACATATATATATATATGTGTGTGTGTGGACAGATAGAGAAAGATATAGGTGCAGATATAGATGTAGGTATAGATATAGATACTGGCTCCCCCAGTCCCAGTCTTCAAAGGAGCAACGGTGTAATTTCAGACTCGCTCTTTCCAGGGGCTTGCGGCTGGGGCAACGACGGTGGCGGCAGCCTTGGTTCGGACCCCGGCGTTCCCCTACAAGGATTGTGGGCAGCTTGAGGTTTCGAAGCGGGAAGATTTAACAGCTCCTCGACGAGGAATGCAGAGAATGCGGACGATTAATAAGCATGATCAAGGGCTTGAGACAGTCACTTCTTTTGCTCACAGTCTGCAGCTTCAGAGCTTGAAGCAACCGGGCCCTGAAGCCCTACCCCAAGATCTCTAAGCCCTTAAACCCGAAGCCCCGTAGGCTCTTGCTTGTTGTCTGGACACGGTGTCTCGCTACTGTAGAAGCTCCAAGCCTGCAGTCTGAAGTCCGAAGTTCGGGAGCCGAAGTCCGGGTGCCGAGGCCATTCGCTCCAAAGTGCGCAGGCGGGCGCACGGAGCCAAGTCCGGGCGCCACTTCGTCGCAGCCGCCGCCACACCGGGCACCGTGTCGGCGCCTACGGCCTTGCAGGCGCAGGGAGGGTCCTGCGCGTCAGTTCCGATATGCTGCTGCATGTCGGGCTGTTTTTTTTTGGACAGAGTCCGAAGAAAGGCCTCCGCGCCGTCCAGGGGTTTATTTGCATCTCCACCATCGTGGGCAGGATCCAAACAAAGCCTTCTTCCCAGCGCAGGGGTTTTCTTCTACCCTGCCACGTTTCCATGACCAAAAAATCCCTAGTCACTAGTCTGTTTCGAACTTCTCTAGTCTTTTTCGAGCGGTTTGCTCCTTCTTCTGAAATTCTGTAGTTCTTTTCGAGCGGTTTGCTCCAAGTTGTCTAGTCTCATTCGAAATTCTTCAGTCTCTTTCGAGCAAACTCGTTGTTCTGAAAGTCTCTAGTTCTTTCGAGCGGTTTGCTGTTTCTTCTCAAATTCTCTAGTCAAGTCTCCGTCGAACTTCTCTAGTCTCTTTCGACGGATTGTCCCTTCTTCTGAAATTCTCTAGTCTCTGTCGAGATTCTCTAGTCTCTTCCGAGCGGTTTGTTTCTTCTTCTGAAAGTCTCTAGTTCCCTTCGAGCGGTGTGCTCTTTGTTTTCAAGTTTTCTAGTGTCTTTGGAAATTCTCTAGTCTCGTTGGAGCGGTTTTTCCTTCTTCGTAAATTCTCTAGTTTCTTTTGGGTGGTTTGCTCCTTGTTTTCAAGTTCTCCAGCGTCTTTCGAAATTCTCTGGTCTCTTAGGTTCAAGTTGCTCCTTCTTCTGAAAATCTCTAGTTCCTTTCGAGCGGTTTGCTCCTTGTTTTCATTCTTTAGTGTCTGTCGAAATTCTCTAGTCCCTTTCGAGCAGTTTGCTCCTTCTTCTGATATTTTTTTGTCTGTTTCGAGCGGCGTGCTCTTTGTTTTCAAGCTCTGTAGTCTGTTTCGAGCGTTTGCTCTGAAATTTCGAGCGGTTTGCTCTTTTTTTTTCTCAAATTCCCTAGTCCCTTTCGAAATTCTCTAGCCTCTGTCGAGCGGTTTGCTCCCTCTACTGAAATTCTCTAGTTCCCTTCGAGCGATTTGCCCCTTGTTTTCAAATTCTCTGGTCGCTTTCGAAATTCCCTAGTTTTTTTCGAGCGGTATGTTCCCTCTTCGCAAATCCTCTAGTTCGTTTCGAGCGGCTTGCGGTTTGTTTTCAATTTTCTTTTTTACGCAATTCTTTAGTTTCTTTCGAGCGGTTTGCTCTTTGTTCTGCCATTCTCTAGTTCCTGTCACGCAGTTTGCTCCTTCTCAAAGTTGTTGTGTCTTTGGAAATTCCCTAGTCTCTTTCGAGCGGTTTGCTCCTTGTTCTCAAGTTCCTTAGTTCCACTCGAGCAGTTTGCTCCTTGTTCTGAAACTCTCTATTTCCTTTCGAGCGGTGTGCTCTTTGTCTTAGTTCTCTAGACTCTTTTCGAAATTATTGCGTTTTTTTCGAGCGGTGTGCTCCTTCTTCTGAGATTCTCTAGTTCCCTTCGAGCGGTTTGCTCCTTCTTTTCAAATTCCCTAGCCAAGTCTTTTTCGAAATTCTCTAGTCTCTTTCGAGCGGTTTGTTCCTTCTTCTGAAATTCTCTAGTTCCTTTTGAACGGTTTGCTCTTTGTTCTGAAGTTCTAGTTCTTTTCGAGCGGTTTGCTCCTTGTTCTGAAAGTTTCTAGCTGCTGTTGAGCGGCTTGCTCCTTGTTTACAAATTCTCTAGTCTCTTTCGAAAATTCTCTAGTCTCTTTTGAGCGGATTGCTCCTTCTTCTGAGATTCTCTAGTTCCCTTCGAGTGGCCTTCCCCGTGCTTTTAAAATCTTGTTTTTTGGGGTCGTTTTTCTCAATGTTTTCGAAATTTCTACTTCTCTTTGAAGCGGTTGGTTCTTTGGTTTCAAACTCATTAGTCTCTTTCGAACTTCTCTAGCCTCTTTCGAGCCGTTTGCTCCTTGTTCTGAAACTCACTAGTTCCTTTCGAGCAGCTTGCTCCTTGTTTTCAATTTCTCAAGTCTTTTTCGATATTATCTAGTCTCTTTCGCGCGGTTTGCTCCTCGTTCTGAATTCTCTAGTTTTTTTCGAGCGAGTTGCTCCTTGTTTTCAATCTCTTTAGTCTCTCTGGAAATTCTGAAGTCTTTTTCGAGCAGTTTGCACCTTCTTCTGAAATGTTTTAGTCTGTTTAGAGCTTCTTGCCGTTTGTTTTCAACATGTCTAGTCTCTTTCCGAATTCTGTTGTCTTTTTCAATCGGTTTGCACATTCTTCTGAAATTCTCTTGTTCTTTTCGAGCAGTTTGCTCCTTGCTTTCAATCTCTCTAGCCTGTTTCGAGCAATTCTATACTCTCTTTCGTTCGCTCCTTGCTCCTTGTTCTGAAATTATTTATTCTCCTCCGAGCGGCTTGCCCTCGTCCCGTGTAGTCAAACTCTCTAGTCCTGCTTCGAGCG